CACTTGTATTGTTCAGCGATACGCCTGGAGCTCAGAGAAGAACGTCTTTACACGGGAAAAGGTTTGAACGCATTTCCGTTTTTCTTTCTAGCTATTTCTTCAAGCCGAGCTACCCACCGTTGTTTTAGTTCTTCTGACAGCATCCTCAGACCACTGACTGTTAGCATCCGTCCATTATTGACCCGACGGGCATTGCACTTTAAGAATACTTCGCGTATACCTGCAGCATCGTATTCTGCAAATACTGTTTAAATGTATCAGAGTTGTCAACAATAGCAGATCGGAATAGAACAGCGCTAGAATTACCAATGAAGGGATGCGACCCTTACATCTATTTACTAATATCTCACTGGCTGCCCGTTTCCGCGGTAACATTACTAACTTTTCAGAGGTACCGTCTAGAAAGAGTCAGTCCGTCGTACTAATGTTTATTATATCATTGGATATGTTGGTTACTGACAGCAGTAATTAGTTTAATGCTTTGAGGTGATGCATTCGTACTCCATGATATGATAACAAACTGACCTTCAGTAGACATGACTCAGGTCACGCCAATTTTCTCATTCGACTCCTTTAAGAACAGTTTTGTCGCAATTTGCAAAGCTCCGCGTACTCCATGAAGAAGGTCAGCAATTAGAATTAAAACTGTAACAAAGTCTTGGATGTGTCAGTGCATTTTTACAGATGCTAGTTTTTAAACAGGGCAAAACAAAACAGTCGTGGGGCAGAGTATCAACGACGTTTCCGCATACATCTCATTGCCATTTTTTAAAATGGAGTATTTCATTTAGGGATTTGTAGTCTTGCTAAAACTCTGAACAAAAACGGGTTGAACACACAGACTATACTCCATCCGTCCTCCCGTCCATACTGGCGCAAAACATTAGTTCAGTCGGTAAATATGATATTTGTGGTTCACTTGACTGTTTTAGCTGTAACGTTTGTTTTTATGTATTTTCTGATCATGCGCGCTATTCTCGTTTGATAGTTTCTATATGCGCCCTAGTCTGGTAATCAGCGGAGTTGCACATGCGTTTAGGGGCTGGCATAGTGGCAGAGAAATCGGCTTTGAATTCCACATGTCGGATTCGAATCCGTTGAAAGAACAACTTTTGTCTTGACCGCGAATTTCCTTGAGCAGTGAATTAACTCCCCAATCAGTTCACACAACTAGCCGAGAATGGACGAGA